TAAATTCTAAATGACAAAGAGTACATTACTTTTTCTCGAAGTTCTTGTTGCTCTAGGAGTCTTAATTTCTTCTTCCTTTTCTCACTAATTTTTGAAACAAGTGGATTCAAAAGTCTGAATTCTTCACTCTCTTCATCTACTTGGAAGTCAGGGTTCTCAAACATAACTTTAAATCGATCATCAGTGAGAATATTAGGAAGGCTCTGCGAGAAAAAAGGAAGTATATAAAAATTTAAGTTAACATCAGAACAAAGCTGACTGGAAAGATGGCTTAATAAGAGCCTCTCTTATTAGAAATCAGTAAGTTGCCTCAGGCACAAGTTGTTAATGTCTTATGAAATTCTTTAGAACTAGGATTCTTTAGAACAGGAGAGGACAAGACACACCTTGGTGCTGTTTTTCCGTATCACAGCACAGGTGACATCGCCAAACAGCTGGATATTTGAAGTCAATATCTATGTTGACTATGTTTATTTTTAGGCTTAAAAAAAATCCTCTTTCCCCTCATCTTACTGCACTGATTAAAGTAGTAATCACATTTAATATACAGCAGGGAATAATGTTAAAGAGAAAGTGTTGCTGATATTTTAAAGATTTTTTCTGAATTTGAAAGCAGCAGACTGCCTGGCCCCAAGGAAGGCCCGCAGGGGAGCAGGAGCGGGGAGCAGGAGCGGAGAGCGCGCTCCTCTGCACTGCGGTGGAAACACTGCCCGGGACTCCTCCTCTCCTCCTCCTCTCCTCTGTCTGCTTCCGCAGCCTTCTCCTCCAGCTGCGCTGCTCACGCCCGCAGCGGTCTGCACACGGCCTGCTGGGTACAGTCCCGGGCCCAGTCCCGGGCCCAGCCCCGGCCTGTGCGGGTGAAGAGGCGGAGGGGGGCTGCGGCCCAGCGCTGCTCAGGGAGGAGACCACAGCCCTTGCGGCGCCGAGACCCACTTCTAGGATGAAGGGCTCGGTGAGCTGGGGCTCCTGTGAGGCCTCAGCTGCCTCCTCTCCAGCTATGCTCTTCATTTTACTTAAGACAAAACTTGTTAAAGAACAAATTATACATCTGCTTTTCAAAAGCCTCAGATTTCTTATTTTTTTTGCAATATGGGGGCTTGGA